TGTAGCCATACTTGAACTAGATAAGAGTCGATAACTAGCTTATACTAAAGCTCGCAGTAGAGGTCGAACTTATCCGATGCAGCCGTACAAACCAAAGTATAAGTCATGACAGTACTTACAGACAAGCCAGAGGTCGGCTGGACCGATGCAGCCCTGCTTGTTGAAGAACTCATCGGATTCTACTCTACTCCTACTCCTAAGTGTTGGCACGAAGTCAAAAAAGAAAGTAACTTGTATTGGTTGATTGGATGTCCATTTTACAATAGCCGGGGTCCAATATTTATATACAGAGCCTAAGCATGAATCCTACTCAAGTATGACTCATTACAATCTTTGGTATAAAAGAAAACATTCCTAACTTAAGATAACTTGGACCCTAATCTTTCCCTTTTTGTAGAGTCCGATATGTATTTCCTGACGCCAACCGTAGCTTTTTGTTGTTATCTGCTGACGTCATTCAAAGAGAGCCGATTCCAGTGTCGCATCTGAATCAGCTGATATCGATCCTTATGCAATCGATTCCTTGATTGACACAATCTTGGAAGCTTTGAGTTCCCGTGTTCTTCTTCCCAAATTTTGGTGTAAACACATGCCCCCCTAATTTTGGGATAAAAATGATTTTATTCCAAAATTCCTATTTATCTGTTTACCATGTCGCAACTGTTTTATTCCAAGATATACGCGTGACTCCTGACTTCCTGGTCTGAGTCTTATATAATATCCCAATAGTATCTCTTCCAACTCACTCGGCCCGTTTGCTTTCCCCTTCTTTCTCAAGCAAATCTTAACAGCTGATGCCACCATCGCTAAAGCCTCAACCCTAGCGAATCCTCTGCCCTATCAAGCTTTCATTCAAGCGATCTTTCTCAGATTCAAATCTATTTCAGCTGCAATGGCGACTAGCGACCACATCCCTGAGGTATTCTTTCAAGTTCCCATTCTCCAAGTATCGGCCGCTTCCCTGCATTTCCCTTCTTCTCAATTTTATTTTAGAGAAAATTTTGTATTTAGCCCTAAAAATAATGCTTCTTTCTTATTTGACACCGAAACTAAAATTCTTTCTTATATGTCCCTAACTTGAGTTTTTGTTAGCTACTTGACACTTCTGTCAGATCTGTGAGGAAACATCGTCAGTTGTCCAACTGAGGCAACGCAAAAAGACCGTAATGCCCTGTCACTAAAGAAAAGAAAATGAAGTCCCCCGTGGCAGTTTGTAACCTGGACTCGTCTCGAGTCGCGGTCGTACAGGCCGTTTCCCTCCCCTAACCCTAGATCGAGGGCGGCGCAGCCATGGAGGCAGAGGGCGGTGCAGCTTCTGGGGAGGGCAGCGTGGCTTCTGGGGAGGGTGGCGTCGCGGCCACGGAGGCACCGCGCGTGGCCACGGCAGAGATCGGCGCGACCATGACGGAGGTCCACACGGCCAAGCAGGTGGCCCGCGCGGCGATGGCGGAGGTCGGTGCGACCACGATGGAAGTCCGCGCAGCCAAGCAGCCTTCCCGTGTGGCCATGGAGGTGGAGGACGGAGCGGCCATGGTGGGGGGCAGAGCGGCCAAGCAGGCGTGCGGCGCGGGCTCGGAGGCGGGCGACGTGGGCACAGGGGCGGGCGACGTGTCCAAGCACGTGCCTCGCATGGCCAAGCAAGCACCCCATGCGGCGTTGGTGGCGGGCGGCGCGATCTCGTTGCCGCGCGCTGCGGCCTCGGAGGAGGACGACACGGCCACGGAAGCGCCACTCGCGGCCATGGAGACGGGCATCGCAGCCACAGTGGAAGGCGGCACATCCAGGACACAACACCAACTCCCTGCAGGGTGAGTTTATTATCTCTAAGCTCAAAATTCTATCGAGCCAACTCGGACTGTTTGTGGATGTCTTGGAATTTAAGAATTTGTGGTGAATTCACTGACTAATAATAATATCAAAGTTCATAACTGAGGAAAAATTACATAGACAGTTGTTGGCTTGGCTCTGTATGTCACTACTTTAGAACAACAAAAACTGAAAGCATATCACCATGGCTTATAAGGAATGGGTTTCGACAACAAAAACTGAACTACATGCATGACATATGCACTATGTTATGGGGAAAAAAGAGTCATTGATACAATATATTAACTTTGTGTTTGAACACATCTCCAGTGAAAGAATGTCTTGACTAATTTTCTGTTGTGTGAAGAGGATGATCATAGCTTATATAAGCAAGAAAGTAAGAAGAATACCATCTTGAGATTTTGTCTACTCTCCTCATCTTTTGCTAACCATTCAGACCATCCAAGAGAACCATCTTCCCCTATTCTGGCACCGCCACTGTTCCAGAAGTGTTCAAAGAGCCTTTGCTTACTGCTTGTCGTCAGATACAGAGGAGGGGTGAATAAGCTAAACTCCATTTGCGCCTGAAATAGCCCAGTTGCTAATTCCCGATGTCCTGTCTGCCACTCAAATCAGCATAGATTAAAAAATATATCCACTAACCCGACTTCTAGCTGAACTAAGGAAGAAGATTTGGAATCCATGCCAATAGAGTCTCAATGCTGTCCCTCTTGCCATATGACTTCAGAAGGCAAAGCAATAATTCCTCACTATCTGGATTAAGCTCCACAGCCTTCTCCAATATGCTAATTTTCCTTTCGGTAGTTTGTAAACGAGCAGCCTTTTGTGGCTGAGTACTAGCAACTTTGTCCTGTAGTTCAGCGGCAAAGGAAATTACGGAATAGAAGTGTGAAATAATGACTGAAACAAAACTCTAGTGGTGAGTCAAAATTGTCGAATTTCATTTCTAAGAACAAACTCTAGTAGTACAAAGTTCACCATAGGTTGAAGAAGTTCTCATGCATGACGTTATTGTGCTTTTCACAGGATGGATGTAGCTACTAATTTTCTATTGAAAATTCATTTGCTTGGCAATCGCAACAAGGCTAGAAAGGATGTCAAATGTTTTAGTTTTGAGATGGTTGTTGACTCAGATCTGTCGAATTATAAGGATTTCATTGACTCAGTTACAGAGAAGTACCCTCTAGGCTACTTAGAAATTCCACATGTTCAGTACTATGATAATGTTCTTAAGAATTTTCTAGTAGTAAAATCAGATCAGAATTTGATGTCTATGTTTGATGTACACAGTAAGGAGAAAGTTGTAGAGATGTTTGTCGCTTATTGTGATCCCTCAGAAAAATTTGAGCCTATCACTAAGTGGGAGTTTGATGTTGAAGGGCAGCCTGCAAACAATATAGAGGAGGATGACGATGATTACCTTAGAAATCCTTTACCAGAGAATGAACATGTTGGTGTTGATGAGGAGATCATGTACTTGGACATTGTACCTGTGAATGCTGTAGATGTGCCTGGATGTTCTGAAAAAGGGAAGGAAAAAGCAGTGGCTGAGGATGGCTCAGAGGATGAGTCTGAGGATGGCTCAGAGGAGGAGTTTGAGGATGAGGATGAATTAGAGGCTGATGAGGATGAGCCATATGAAGAAGTAAATCATCACCCAATTGCTGATTTCGATGAAGAAGATCCTCCTATGGAAGTAGGCACTACTTATCCCAATAACTTTGCTCATGATTGTTCTAGCACTAGAAGGAAGAAGAGAATAAAGAATGCTACCAAACATTGGATATGTTGGAAGGTGAAGGACTTTCTGATAGAAGATGCTACTTTGGGAGCAACATCATTGCTAAAGAAAATTAAAGAACACCACAAGGTGAGCATCCACTACCAGAGGGTATATCAGGGTCAACAACTAGCAATGAAATAACTTTATGGTGATTGGGATAGCAGTTTTAATAATTTGTTTAGTTTCAAAGCACAAGTTGAGAGCTCTTGTCCCGGTAGCAAAGTAATTATTGACCATTACATAGTAAATGGGGAATTCAGATTTAGGAGATTCTTTTTTGCCATGAAACCTTGCATTGATGGGTTCCTTAATGGTAGTAGACCTTACTTGGCAATAGATAGCACCTTCCTGACAAGCAAGTTCAAGGGGCAATCGGCTAGTGCTTGTGCAGTTGATGGACATAGTTGGTTGTATCCTGTTTGTGTTGGAGTTTTTTATTCCGAAACTAATGACAATTGGATCTGGTTCATGAGTAGGCTTAGAGAGGCTATTGGGTCACCTCTAGGTTTGGCAATAAGCACTGATGTAGGCCAGGCAATCATGGGAGCTGTTGCTAAAGTATTTCCATAGGTAGAGCATAGAGAGTGCATGTTTCACTTGGTGACTAATTTCAAAAAGAGGTACCGTGGGAAGGTGTTTGATGATCACCTCTGGGCAGCAGCTTACTCATGGAACCCATACTTGTTTAAGAAGCATTGGGCTGAGATGGAGAAAGCAAAGCCTCACTTTACAGAATCGATTACCTAAGACGTCACAAGAAGTTGTGGACTAGAAGTCAATTCAAAACAATTTGCAAAGTGGACTATGTGACCAACAACTTGGCGGAGAGCTTCAACAATTGGATTAAGCAGTACAAGTCCATGAATTTGGATGATTTGATGGATAAGATCAGACAATTAATTATGATCAAGTGGAACCAAAGGAGAAAAATTGAAAAGAAATTAGATGGCTTCATTCTTCCCACATAATTAAGAAGCTAAATGAACAGAGTAGAGAATTGAACTTGGATGTATCGTAATGCTCGTAAGAGGTGGCTGAAATTATCTTATTTGGTGGCAAAGTGGCTTTAGGTTTGTGGTGAACTTGGTTGATCGAACATGTTCTTGTAGACAATGGCAAGTCTCGGCATTCCTTGCAAACATGCCCTTGCATTCATTACAGCACTACCTAATGCACCTATTGACAAATATGTTGACTTCTACTACTCCATTGAGAAATTTAGAGGAGCCTATAGTGCATTAATCCCTGCTATTCCCGACAAGACACAAAGGGCCTAAATCTACCCATGGCTTCTTCATGATGGACCACTACTAATGTCTCAGAGTGGTAGGCATAAAACCGAGAGACACAAAGGCCAGAGTGACAAGAAGGGTAAAAAAGGGTAGCACCAATGTCCTATCTCAGAAGGAATATGGGCATCACGCACACAAGCTCACAGGAAGGGCAAAGAAAGAAGATATTGAAGTAATGAAAACTCTTAGGTACATTTCATCTTGTATGCATATTTTTTAATTAGATCATATTCTTTACTATCTATTTGCTTATGTAGAGGAACACCGAAAAAGAGGAAGAAGGTTACCAAATCAACAGAGAGTTCCATTGTGCCAATAGAGGATGAAGCACCAACACGTTCTATGACTTTTCCACCAAGGTTAGCTCAATTTCCACTTTCTGTATTTAGATTCCAATTCATGGTGTCTCATCCTAGTACTTTTAATATTATTGTAGTCAAAACTTGGAACCTGAACCCACAGCTAGTAAGAAGAGAAAGGGTGCTGCCTCAAATTCTAGACCAACAGGAAGGTAATTAATAAAAACTTGAATAAATATTCTACTAATAGAAAACTAATGGTGACTTCTAAGTACCAAACTCTCTTCTTTTTAGTAGTATAAGCTCAGAGATTACAAGTAGGAAAAAGGGAATGCAGGGTTCCTCTAACTTTGGAGCATCAAAAAGGTAGCCTATACTACATCTGAATTTATTTTGCATGGTTAGTTTGTTGATTTTGCAAGCAGTTCTATCTAACAGTAAATTCCCATGGTCAACTTTATATGCTTGCATTTTCCAGCCTCTTCTATATGAAATGTATATCCAATATATTTATAAGTTTTTTATTACCGAAATGTATATCAAATATATCTCAAATAATGTTTTCATACACATGAACATGTATAGGTCCAGAAGTGGTTCAAATCAACCTGAACCACTTTCAATTGGGCTCCCCTCATCCAAAGATAAACCACAAGCTGTTGTTGTCAAGTTAAAAGGTAAAAGGAGGAAGAAAGAAGTAGATAAAAATGCTGCAAAGAATCTTTTGTCGCAGCTTGATAGCCCTGCAATGGGCACGAGGAGCAAAAGACTTCAGCCTAGTAGTCCGGCACTAAGCACAAGAAGCAAAAGAAGGATGTGTTTGTGATTCTTGAATGAGAAAATTTCCAAAATGTGTATTGTGTTAGATGTCTGTAATGGATGCAATCCTGTGAAAATGTTTCTGTGCATGTGAACCTGAATGTATCTCGACTATTATTGTGATCATGGATGCTAAATATTGAATTTATCTTGAACATGTGAGTTTTCTAAAATAAATGTGCTATTGTTCTGCTGCATGTCATTTTCAAATTGGATGTTGTTGGAGACCTATTTTATTGTTGTTATTCATGTATCTAAATAATTAATTTCAAACTGAATATAATTATACGTAATTATATAAGATGATGTTTGATCCTTTATTTATTTAACACAAGCAAAAACTGAAACATTGCAGTTTAAGATAAAAACATTCATAAAAGATAGCAATATTAACCATGGAATGCCAGGACCAGTAAAAACTCTAGGGGTAAAACGGACTTTTCACATAGGACTTGACACCGTTAACAACCCAAACTGACGGAAGTGTCAAATAGGAAAGAAAAACTCGAGTTTTGGACATATAGGAAATATTTTCAGTTTCGATGTCAAATAAGAAAGGAGCATTATTTTTAGGGCCAAATACAAAATTTTCTCTTTATTTTATTTGATTTCTAGGAAATGAGGAACGAAATCTTGATTCCATCGGCTAGTGCTCCTAATGTCTATTTTCTTGGACCTATGGGTGACCCTGATCCATCTGATTTTATCTATCAAGAAACCAACCGAATCCCCTTCAAACAATATATAGTGGATTCATCTTCCTGGAACACCAAGACTCCCTTTAAAAATTGGCCTAAAATGCCTAAAGAATGGAGAGACTAGTTTCGTAGGGTGTTCAAGAAAAAGGGTGGAGATTGGGAGCTTTACAATCTGAATCAATGATTGACACTTTCGTTATCTGGGATGGAGAGGAATGATTCACTCCTGATCTCTGCATCTTATTTCTGGTCTAACACCCTAAATGCTTTCGTTTTTTGTCACGGCCCAATGACCATCACTTTGGCCGATGTTTATATGCTGACTGGCCTTAGAATAATAGGATCGATGCAGCCTTATGAATTCTTAAGTGCTGGATCTAAGAAATTAGCCAAAATATCAGACTACACAGGATGGAGAAGCTACATTCTGAACCATATTGGAGATGAATCAACTGTCAGCGAAAGAGAATATATGGCCTTTCTGAACATGTGGTTAGAGAGATTCATTTTCTGTGGGTCATCTTGTGGTCTGACTTACAATCATAAATTTATGGCAGAACATCTGGCAGTAGGTAGGGATATTCCTCTTGGAAAGTGTCGGTGCAGAATGTGACCAACTAGTAAATATTTGTAGTTTATCCGTACATTGTGATCGGAGGTGGCCTAGCACTCAATGACATAGGGTTTATACTAGTTCAGACAATATGCCCTATGTCCAGTTTGAGTCGGTCGGTGACTTTATTCCTGAGCCCAAGTGCTCAAAGTCTGCAGTGGGGTTACAAACGAGAAGGAGAAAGATGGGGTGTACAAGAGGTCCGGTCGGCTCCGGTCGGAAGGGCCGAGAGCGACAGGAGCTCTGCTATGAGCTAAGTGTTCAAGCGTGTGCTTGAGGTCCAAACCCGGTGGTTCTACGGTTGTGGACTAGTGAACTTGATCGATCTAATGAATCTAAGAAAGGCTCTCCGGAAAGGCCCCTTCATTGGAGGGAGCACATCCCCTTTTATAGATAAAAGGGATGGCTTTACAAGTGAGAGGGTGAGGGTACGTATGCTACTAGGCTCTGTTGCCCATGCCAACGGGTACAGGATAATGGTATGCACCTACAACATTGTTGATGTCACTGTAGAATGTCAGATGCACATGGGAGGTTGCGTTGCCTTCTTCAGAAATGGCAGATGTCGGTACCTACAAATACTATTAATGCCTAGAGGCACGTGAGGAGTCTCACCACGTTCACCTGGTACGGTAAATCCCAGCGCCCACAACACTATCGATGCCTAGAGGCATGTGGGGGGCCTTACCGTATGGGAGTTATCGTCGCCCACAATACTGTAGAGGGAAATGTGGGTGCCTAAAATACTGTTTGTGTTAGGGCGGTTGCAGAGTACTATTCCTGCAGGTGTATAGGGTATGGTCCCTGGTATCATGGTTTGACTTGTGCGCCCTGGCTTGCTTTCTCCGTTCGTCCCCTGGTTCCTTCCGAGCGGGCGTCTCCGGTCGGATGGCCCCAGTCGGCCCTGGTCGCGCCAGTCGGAGAAGAGCGGTGAGCTGGGTTTCTGTGAACCCTGGTCGAAGACGCGGGGTCGGAGTCAGAAGTAGCGCTTGGGCCAGGCCTTCTGATCAATGTGGCCATCCAGAGGCGGCTAGAGTCCGAAGCGAGCGCTTCGGTCGTAGAGGTGGGCCGAAGTTGTCGACGAGCGGGCGCTGTTCCTCTTCGGCCAGACCTTCCGGTCGGTGACTGGACCGCCCTTTTAGCTTGTTGTTTTAGACCCTTAGGCCAGCCCATGAGTTGTGTGCTGTTTGCTTGGGCTAAGCCTTGGCGTGGAAGCCGGTCCCAGAGGGACCCTGGGTTTATGAACCTGACAGGAGCCCCCGAGCTCCCGGGCGATTCGAGCAGAATCGTCTGGGTTTTTTTTACGGTGGGTGCGCGCGAGCGCACCCGCGGGTGTAGCCCCCGAGCCCCCGGGCGGTTCGGGTAGAACCGTTTGGGGGGTTTTCTATGTTGTCAATGGGGGAGGTTTCCATTTTGTTGGTCGGGTGCGCGCGAGCGCACCCACGGGTGTAGCCCCGAGCCCCCGGGTGGTTCGGGCAGAACCGTCTAGGGGGTGTTCTGTAGCGGTCGTGCGTGCGCATTTTTAGTTGGGACAGAGTTTGTTTAACCAGGGCATCGTTGTGCAGCCGAGGCATTTTAGTTGGTTGAGAGATTTTGAGACAAGACTCACTGATCCTGGCGTCAGTGCGCACCGTGGGATCGGGCGAGGAAGTTTAGTTTGGACGAGACAAAGCTCACTGATCTTGGTGTCGATGCGCGCCGATAGTTCGAGCGAGGGAGTTAGTTTGGACGAGACAGAGCTCACTGATCCTGGCATCGATGCGCGCCATGGGATCGGGTGAGTTGGAGTTAGTTTGGATGAGACATAGCTCACTGATCCTGGCGTTGATGTGTGCCGCGAGATCGGGTGAGTTGGAGTCATGGGGCGAGATCGGGGTCGCGGACCCAGGTGTTTTGGAGCGCAGTCGGAAGCGTAGCCGGCTGGGGCGAGATCGGGGTCGCAGACCCAGGTGTTTGGAGCGCAGTCGGAAGCATAGCCGAATGGGGCGAGATCGGGGTCATAGACCCAGGTGTTTGGAGTGTAGTCGGAAGCGTAGCCGGATGGTGCGAGATTGGGGTCACAGACCCAGGTGTTTGGAGCACAGTCGGAGCGTAGCCGGATGGGGCAAGATCGGGGTCGTAGACCCAGGCTTTTTGTGTCTTGAGCCCCTGAGCCTTGCTGGGCCTTAGTAGGGGTCGGTGTGAGTTGTGTTTGTTACCCCATCCTCAGTTCCTCACAACCGGAGGGGTTGAGTTTTGTCGCTTGTCCCGATCGCTCGGGCTCGAGTGACGTGCTCGGTGAGTTCGCTAACGGGTATGATCGAGTGGAATCCAGGTCCATCGTTCGTGACAGGGTCGGCATTGCCCTCTTATAACATTCCACTACTCCTTTACCTGCAACCCAGTAGATACCTGGGTCGTTCCGAAGAACGACCCGGGTGGCCTAATGGCCTCCCCTCGATGGAGATTTTGTGGGCTTAGCGAGAGGTTTAGGATCGAACGAGAAGGTTGAGATGACCTAGTCTGCCAGACCAGGCGAGGGCCGCACGGGGCTCATCAACGTTTTTCTCCCCTGGCTCCGTTGGTTGCTCATGTCGAATGAGGCAACCGCCGCTTCATGACGCAACACAGAGCGTTGTGATGCATTTCACTGCGCGTGCGATGCTTAGTTCCCGAGCCCCCGGGCAGTTCAGGGCCCGAATCGTCTGGGAGGCACAGGCGCATGGAATGAATGCGCGTATGGATGTATGAAATGATTATAAGGAAATAGAGGGGGTTTGTAGTTTTCACCTTGGTGACTTGAGTGACGGGGTTTGGAGAGCTTCAGTCGAAGATGTCCGACCGGGACCCATGCTCGTCGTTCGTGATGGAGTTGGCATGGCCTACATGGGGCACCCCTTCACTTCCTACATGTGTCTCAGTGTGTCTTTCCGAGCCATTCGATCGACTTGGGAAGCCCGATGGTCTCTCCCGGCGAAGATCCCGTTTTGGGTTTTTCCAAGTCCCGCCTGGGGAAGCGGGGAGCCACCTGCGTGCGGTGGCGCTTTGGTTCTTATGCCCGGCGTGTGGTAGTGGTTGGTCGTGCGGTAGTGGTGGACCATGCCCGGGCCATGTCCCGTCCGATCAGGAGCCGTTCCGTCGGGTAGCGCACGTCTCATCGGTCAGGGCGCGTCTCATCGGTCAGGGTGCGTCTCATCTGCATTAAATGGGAAAGAGAGAGAGTTTCTCGCTCCACTGTTTTGCCTTCCCCGATCGGCGCGCCCTTCCCTAACTGCTGTTCTCTTTTCCTTAAGTAGGAGGAGGGCGAGGGTTTTTGCCCTGTTCTTTTGCCTATTCCTCATCTGCCACCGCCTTTCCTCTTCCTTCTTGCCATGAGCGTTCCTGAGAGCCGTGGTGGTTTCTAGGAAACAAAGGGGAGAGAGTGAGAAGAGAAGAACTCACCAATCCTTTTGCGACCACGGAGCGAAATGTCGGACTGGAGGTCATCCACCGTGAGGGAGTCGGTGTTGAAGGCCTTCGTTGGGAAGGGGCTCCTGCTGCCGAAGGAGGTGGCGCACTGGAGGGTTCCCGGGAGGGAGGAGTTCCCGCAACCTCGAGCAGACGAGGTGGTTTCCTTTCTCACCTTCCACGAGCGTGGGTTAGGATACCCTGCGCACTAGTTCCTGCGCGGGCTCCTCAATGAGTGGGGTCTAGAGCTGCAGCACCTTAATTCGACAG